GACACTTGATGTCTTATCTCGCAGAAACCTGAAGTGAAAACTAACAAGTCAGCGGAAGCGGCAGCGAAGATAGGATTTCTGGTAAACATAGAGAAGGTAGAGTTGATGAAGACACCCAAATAACAACAGTGTGCACCACTCAGCATCAGTGCAGTTCATCTCTTCCACTGACGTTAGGCAGCATCGTTTCAGCTACAGGCAGTACAGCAGATGTGCAGGAGGAAGTTGCTTAGGGGGTTGGTGCTTAGCCGTCACTTTGGTAATCTTTGATTGGTGAGTTTCAGTTTGGTGTGACATTAAAGCTGAAAAAAAACTAAAGAAGCCCAATAAAGTTGAATGATATTTCAGAAAAATGCAGAAATTTCTCACGAATTGACGGAGAAAACTTTTGGTTGGATTGATTTTTACTATTCGCCAGCTTCAGAGAGTAACAGTTTAGGCTTTCAGGAAATAGAATTTCGCCATTTCATTCGCTTAATTATGGTGTCAGTTCAACTTGTGTATTTTAGCCAGTTGTTATCCACACAATAGACAGAATCTCAAAAGATCGATTATTGGTTAAAGAATATCCCTTTTAGTAACTTCTTCACATCGGGTTCTACTGTTATTTTCACTTTTTAGAGTTTGTCATGAACCAGTCTCAGTTAGAGAGATCATTAGAAATCAAGGAGCACTGTACAGATGTTCCTCCGTAGTTTGGGGGGGGGACTCTTCATCTGCACGCTCACCCATACCTCCCACCAGGGATTGAACTCGGAATCTTCGGGTTACGACATCATTTAGCCATTCGAGATGGGAATTCAGTAACCTTCAGCATTTCATCATGAACTGACATCGGTTAGAGAACCATTGGAAAACCAGCAGTGAATACTGAACAGGCGTTTCTTCCTAGTTTGGGACTCTTCAACAGTACGCACCCACCGCCAGGATTCGGACCCAGGACCTTTCGATTACAAGGCGGGCTGGCTCGTAGACCTTTAGGCTACTTGGGACCCCGATCCACTGGTCTATGAATTCCAACCACTGGGGTATAGCAAATCTGGTGCTAAGACAAATACTCGCCGATGACATTCGTTAGTTGTCGCGCCATATCATGAATTGGCAGAAGTTGGAATTCATGCACTGTTCATTGGATCAGGTCCCAGTGGGTGAATGGTATACGAGATCGCCTTATAACTAGAAGCTCCTGGGTTCGAGACCTGACGGTGGATGCGTACTGATGAAGAGTCCCAAAGTAGTAGACTGACGAAACAGCTGTCCAGTACTCCGAGCTGGTTTTCCAATGGTTCTCTAACCCATGTCAGTTCATGATGAAGTCCTGAAATCAGTCGAATCGCTATAAACCAACACTTGAATTCTAACTTTGTCAATTCATGATATATAGCGCTACCCTCAACCAATGTCTTGAATGAGCATCCACTTCACACCTTAACACATGGTGGATCCCACTGGCAACAACTCACTACAGTTTCAGGATGTTCATCCAGTAGCCATCAGTGAGCTGGCGACTGATTTGTAGATGATGGCATTTGTGTGGGTTTGGGATAATTTCCATTGGTTAGATTTCTTCAAGAATCAACTTCACTTCTAGAGATTATTAACAACCAGTTCTATATATATTTCTATAATAGTTGAAGAATTATTACTATTATTATTGACAACATTAATGTTTTTTAAATAACATCGAATCATTCAGATCAATGGATTAAAGTTCACAAGCATGTATAACTGATGTATTATACATCAAAGTAACACTGGACTGAATATCAGACAAATTAAGGAACTTAATACAGAATTCATAAATTCACAGGTTCCACAACAGGCCAAGGTAGCAATAGTGGCTGGATTTGATTCTTTTCTACATAGGGTACCGGTTGTTTTAAGTGACTTACTGGTGATTTTGTGGTTCAGCGGTGAAGTGCTCGCCGACCACGCAGGTGGTCCGGGGTTCGAGTCCCGGCCGACGCACATTTTCACTTCACTAAGCCAGTAGTAAGATTGGTAAGGAGGGAAAGTTGGGCATGAGGCTAGCAACCCCATCCTGTAAAAATAATCGCCACTACTGCAGAAACTTCAAGGCTCTAGCTTGAAGGCTTATGTTCCACTGAGAACGTAGAGGAATGAAAAAAACCCCGATGATTTCTACTATTTTGAAGTATTCAGTATCATCTGGAGACCTTTGGGAATTTATTAGATGCTTGAAAGATGATAGGGAAAGTTTCTCCAGTGCTGATTTTATATCTTGCTTGTAGTACCAGGTGATCTGATCTCTAGTACGCGTTCATTTAGTCAAACTGGTGCGTATTTCTAAACTCTAAAAATGATGTTCCTAGGAGAAAGACTTGCTAACCATCACCAAGGTGTTTCGAGTTAGATTCTCGGCAGACTCACTCTGATACCTTGCCGTAGTTTACTGGCCGGTAGGTAGCCGTGGAAATGATGGAAGGGTGGGGAGGACGAGACTGACAACTTCATCTCATGTGAAAAATGACTGACATCAGCGCTTACCGAAAGTTCGAAGTGCGCATAGCCTAATGTTCCACTCGGAACGCGTAGAAATGAAGAGGACGAAGAAGAAAAGCAACGGTTAATTTAACCAGCTTCACAAGAGCAGTGAAATTGAAAGGTACAAGGTGCTTCGTCTTAAAGTTTTACAATCACAGTCGATCATGTAGGAAATATGAGCTACAGCTTACCGACATCCAAAGTCCTTTGAAACGATTTTCTTTAATTTATCGGTTATTACGTCATCATACTAGAGACTTATTGTTTGACAGCTACAGTAAATTTCTCTTTTCAAGAACTGGAACTCCCCTGCATGCGGAAGAAACAGGTCCAACCACTATCGTTACCCTGTCCTGCTGTGGAATCTATAAATTCTATATTACAACTTTCCTTAATTTTTCTGATAATGAATTTAGTGTTATACTTATGCATATTACTACTATATGCAAGCATGTTCTGGGCTATATTCTATTGATCCTAATGATTAGGTGTTATTTATGGAAAAAGTAATAACGTTGTGGATAACACACGTCCATACCCTCTGCCAGCTAAGTCCTATTTTCACTGCCTTCTTGTGGCCAGGATGTTCCTCAAAAATGTGCGAAGGCTGGTGTGAACACATCTGGTGCTTACAACCGGACTAGGGGATCTGGAAAATCCTGATTCCAAACCTATAGTGCATATGGGGTGTAGAATCCGAACTGGTAGAACAGCGTATGAACCTGTTTTAGGCACTGATGACAACCCAGGGAACGCCGCTCCAGTGCCATGTCGATCAGACTTGAAGTCAAAGATTCGTGTGGAAGTGGCCCTTTAAAACAAACACCTGCTTCGGTCTGAGTATTTGAGGCAGTATCCCAATCATCGCACAAATGATGATATTTTGTGTGGCGCAACTCTTGATGCCCTCAATGTATCAAGTTTTTCTTTGAATTATAGTTATGCCAATAACAATAATCCTCTATAGAATTTCTTCACGAACTGACATTTGCTAAAGAACCATTGGAAAATCTAAGAGGAGAGTACTGGGTGGCTGTTTCGTCTATGGGGTTGGAATCCAGGACCTTACGGTCACAAGGTGAGTGAGTAGACCGTTAAGCCACTGGGACCTGGTCTAACGGTGTTATGGTGTACTAGTTCGTCTTGTAAACCGGAATTTTTGGGCTCCAATCCCCGCGGGTGAGCACCACTAAAGTCTCTTCAAACTAGGACGAAATAGCCGCCCAGTACTCTCTGTTAGATTTTCCAATAGTTTTCTAACCAATGTCAGTTCATGATGAAATCCTGTAACCGAACACATCCCTGCAGAGCACCACTTGAATAATTCTTTAATTATATTATAGATTTATGACTATATAATACAGTCTGATGAACAAAAAGTTATCGAAAACAGTATTTTTTGTTCACTAATCTTAATCTTTTAAAATTGATGTCGGACATCTTTAATCAATAGACACCATTAGTTGTTCGTATTCTATCACCGTATATTTAATGGTTCCACTATTAGAAGACTATTAGATGATTGAAGGCAATGGAAAGAAATCCTTGGACGTCTCATTCTAGTTGGCACTCAACAACAAGGCGTACCTGTAATCTTGAAGGAACTTATATATATATATATATATATATATATATATATATATATATATATATATATATATATATGCCTTCTGAGATTCCAAACCCTTGTCACACCACAGTGAACGCTAAAGGCAGAGATGTTACAGCTGAGCTATTCAAGCTTGCAACTGACCTCCTGTAGGACTGTATTGTGGATACTTTTGACTGGACAATTAGTTAGTAGCTAACGTTATTGTATGTCTAGTCCTTTGTTTCGTGCAGACTAGATTCTATCAAACATGTTTGCAATGTCGTCATTATGCCCAGTAGGTGACTCTCCATAACTCTCGGTGCATTGTGAACTGTTGACATTGGATGGTTGGAGGCAATCGAGAGGAAGCCTTGTCTGACCTAAGTTTCGTACTAGTTAGTACTCGTCAGTAAGCTAACTAGACTGCATCAAATAAAGGACTAGACAAATTACAATAGTTACTATTATTATTATTGTCTTATTTCATTCTTTTACGCTCCCAGGGGAACATAGGGCTTCAAGATAGAGGCCTGAAGTTTCGGTAGCAGTGATATATATATATTTTTTTACGGGATAGGGTTGCTAGCCTCTTGCCCAACCTTCCCCCTTTACCAGTCTCATTACTGGCCTAGCGAGGTTGTGGAGTGTGTCGGTGGCCGGGGATCGAATCCCGAACCACCTGTGGCGTGGTTGGCGAGCATTCTACCACTGTGCCACCGACACTATAGTTGCTAACCTAGTGTCCAAGGTATTGACTGTTTGTTCAAAGGTTTACATGAAATTTACTTAAGGCGTCGGTAGACTGCTTGTCACACAACCTATAAGTTCAACGTTTTTGTATAAGCAATTTAATTGTTCCAATATTCTTCTAATTATATACATATTTTTTAATATTTTCTAACAGTATGCATGTTATGCAATCGGTAAAGATGTTCAAGCAATGAAAGCTGTAGTCGGTGAAGAAGCTTTAAGTGCAGAAGATCTACTCTATCTGGAATTTTTAACAAAATTTGAGAAAAACTTTATTACTCAAGGTAAGCTTTGACAATTTAAACTTGTCAACTTTAAAAAAAATTTTAAGCCAATGAGTGAGTGAGATTTGCTGTTGTTGTTGTTGTCGCCATTGTGAGAATGAGTTATGCTTGTCAAATCATGGGTGTGGTTTATTTTATAAACGTCGGTACATGCATGTTTTTGTGAGTTGTGTAGAAAACTGACATGCTGCATGAGTCATAGCGCTTTAACAATTTAAATTGCACTTTGCAAAAAGTGCAGTAGTTCAAGTTGTCACACTCCATAGTATAGTACATAAAAGTAGTAAAGAAAGTCGACTTTTTTGAGTCGTGTTACTGACGGTCTCGAGCTGGTTAGTCCTTGCCGTCCTGCCTCGAGGACAGCAACAAGGCAGTCTACACATTCCTATGTGACTCATACTAACAGTTAAATCGGAAGAAGACGTATCATTCTAGTTGGCACTCGTCAACAAGGCGTACCTGTAACCTTTCAGGAACTTATATGCCTCCTGAGATTCAAACCCGCGTCATCTGATATCAATCCGTGGTCAACTCGTAAAAACATAACTAATCCTTACAAACCAAACTATAGAAGATTAATCTGATGCTCGCTAGTGACTTGCTACAGGATGGAGTTTCCTGGAGTTCTAGTGAGAAGACGTGACCAGTGAGGTCCAATTAGATGTCATGTGTGATGAGGATGGATGTCCCACCAACAACAATGGTTGAGTTCGCGCTAAATCACGAATTGGTAAAAGTTAGAATTCATAAGCCATTGAATTGGGTCCCAGTGGCTGAATGGTATACGAGCCAGCTTGTCTTGTAACCGGAAGGTCCTCGGTTCGAGACCTGGTGGTGGGTGCTTTCTGCCGATAATTCCCAAACTAGTGGGTTGAAACCGTTGGCTGTCCAGTACTCCCCCACTCAGCTGGTCTTCAATGGTTCTCTAACTGATATCAATGTGTGATCAACTCGTACAAACATAACTAACCCATACAAAACAAATTATAGAAAAGTTGAACAGTTCATGGAATGATTCCATATTTTGATTTGATCACAATTAACTCCACTTCCCTAGGGTTCCGAGTGAAATACAGCGCTTCAACAACACATCTCCACTTTCTTCTATTCTCTACCGTCCTCTTCAGCTGGCTAGCTCCACGATTGCCCATAATCTCTCATCTCCTCCTCCAACTCACACGACCTCCTCCGTGTCACCCTCACACCGACGACTCACTTATCGCTTCCCATTTGGATTCCACTCGAGCGATGTCATTTGACGGTCTACCCATTGTATGCCCGATCCATCTCCACCTTCTTCTATATATTTGTTACTCAATCGACTCTCGCCTGTTGGTTTGTTCCCAGTCAGAGTTTCTTGTTGCTGATTCTTTGTGGCCGACTGGTCATTTGATCTTTAGTATGGAGCCAGCCAGCCGGCGAAGGTGGAAGCTGTTGATAAAATTCTGCAGTGGCTTGTTGAAAATCCTTATCGTGGCGCGAGCACAGTGCAAGTTTCTGACCCTTATAGAAGAAGTGACTGGCTGACTTCACATTGGTGTTGAATGGAATCTGGATCTTGTTGTTTATGCTGAGGTGGAGTGTAGTGCAGTGCAGAAGATTTTCAAACTGGTTTCAGGTTGATGAAGGTATATCTTGCCTTTCCGATTCTGGCTGATTGGCTGACTGGCTTGGTGTGACACCTTCATTCGTTCCGACTGTCTGTGGTTGAAACCGCGCTTCCTAGACGGATAAGCGAAGGCAGGAAGTAACTTCTGTGAAATCTCTCCTATTGATGGCGGCTGGTGCTGGTTGTTGTCGCTGTTGGTGGTGGTCGGTTGCTTAGTTATCTTCATCACCTCCGCGTCTCCACTTTCTCTATATCCACCTACAGTCCTATCTTCGCTGACGTCTTCTTCAACCAGTTTGCTGGTTTTCACCTTCCTGCAAGTCATCGAGTTTGTGTATCATTAGACATAAACCATCCACACGCGAAATCCAGACTTTCTGGTATCGTCTTATCGGTCTGTGCAGCGTATTCCTGTCTTCTCCTTCCCAAGGCATGGTCTGTCGCAAAGTCCAGTCCATCACAATTAAGAATATCATCGGTGATAGTAGGCAGACAGCTAGCTTATCTTACTCCTGTATTCACTTCGAACATCTTGCTGAATTTTCCTCTGTGGATCACCTGACACTTGACATTGTCATATGGCTGTGCTGGAATCAGATTGATAAAGATTTCGGGTAGTAATCTGTAGTGTGGCTCAGTATGCGCAACACGTATCCTAGCCATTTTAAGTAATATAGTGTCACCACCTTATCAGTTCACTCTACGCTTAATCTGAGTGAGTCGAGTATTACTCACAATATTTATACCACTTATAACGTGCGAGATTGAACACAGATATCTGTGGTTAGAGATAACTAGCCTTTGCATGTCTTCCACTTTCATTGACTATGTCTCACAGTTATAAAAGGAGATTTTCGTTAAGTAGGGATTCATTATTTAATTGAATTTTTGATTTTCCCGTCGATTGATTGGACCGAAGTGCTCGGTATCAGGTTGACATGTTGGCTTCTTGTGGAGATGCTTGGATAATGTCTGGGCATTTAATTAGTATTTAATTGGTTGTTGGTGACTAGCAGTGGAATCATCCAGGATGCGCATTTCGTCCTATTTGGGACTCGTTAGCTGAAATGCGCATCCTGGATTCCATTGCTAGTCACCACCCACCAATTAGATACTAAGTAGGGATTCAATTGTAGAGAGTTGCTTGATATCCTTTTCTGACCAACTGAATTGTATGATAGTGAAGTTCCACTTTTCAAGGGAAAGAAATCTAATCAAAAGTCAATCTGAACGAAGAATATTCTTTTCAATAATTTCTCGTCTTTGGGTTCTTACAATTGTAACATGTAATATATTTATTGTCGTTACAATAATGGCCAGTTATGGAGCGGATACGTTTTTCTTAAATGTAGAATAACAGATTAGCAGTTATGGGGTGTCAAAATAAATAGTAATGTTTGTGTGACAAACGTCGTGCTAGGCTAAAGTCGATTACAAAATATTTGGGTGAAATGGGAGACAATGGTGGTGATTACTCATAATAGATTTGTAGATTGTGGGGTAGGAAAATTGACAAGTCAGATGAAGGTTACAAAAAATGTCAGGTGAGTGGCTAGTACAAAGTGGTATGTATTAAAGAGGAAGTAGTAAGACTGCAATCAGAGGTTCGGTTCATAAGGAAATAACGAATGTGTTAAATGAAACAGGTTGAGGCATATATTGATAAAACAGATAATATCACTAATAATAAGTACGGATAGTATAAATGAAAAATTCGATAGTATTGAGAGAATGTTCTCATGAAGGGCATAAATTATGACGAATAATAATAATAATAATAATTGTGATAGCAAGCAAAGGAAAGAAAACACCAAGAGGGTTAAGGGGAAGAAGAATCATCAGTCAAAGTTTGGCCACGGTAGGAACAGCGTCTGGACGTAATCTTTTTGGATACAAACTTCCGGTTTAGTCCAGTTTATTGCACCAACTTCAGCTATGTGTAACAGACGTAAGCGAATTGTACGTGATATGGGAATATTTCAAATTATTAAGAAATCTAATCGCATAAAATATCTTGACTCACATGTATATAATTTAATAATTCTCATTGTACCCTTTAGAACACAATATTCGGCGAAGAGACTCTGTTCCACAACGAAATTATTATCAAGGGGTATATATATACGTCGGTGCCACAGCGGTTAGGACGCTTGCCGACCATGCATATGGTCCGAGGTTCGATCCCCGGCCGACGCACTCCTTTACCTCGCTAAGCCAGAAAAGTGCTGGTAAAGGGGGAAGGTTGGGCATGAGGCTAGCAACCCCATCCTGTAAAAATAAACAGTGCTACAGAAACTTCAAGCCACTAGCTTGGAGCCCTATGTTCTACTAAGAGCGTGAAGGAAAAATTATTATATATATATATATATATATATATATATGTATATATGGGTTTTTTATAGGAAATTAAATCCGGTTAGGGAATTAGATCAAAGCAGTGAATATATGAAATAATAATAGTAGTATGAAACGCAATTAAAATATTTCTGATTATAATCATAGTTAAATGTCAGGTAGCAAAACAATTCGTGTTATATATAGAATAATACATAAGGTGTATATATGTTGGGAAGGGGTACATAATTATAAGATTAGTAGACGAATATAAAAATGTTACATAACACTGTTTGAAATTTGGTACGATAGAATTCAATATTGTAAAAAAATAATAATTTTGGATTTAGAATGACAACTGGGACAAGCGGAAACAATTTGGGGTGAGAATAGTAAAAATAATAATAATAATAATCGTAGTGTGGTGAGAGCAGGCTGCTAGCCAATTGGTGGACAATAATTTACGTCAATGTCTAGGTCACTAATATTGGACGTGAGAAAATATGAACAAGACTGATTCAACAACCAATCACAGCAGACTTAACGTGGGCAAACAAGATTCGCAGATATATGGCTTAACTTTCTGAGAAACCAGAAACAACCAATCAGAAGACTGTGTTTGTCTGCTTGAATAAGCTATAATGATGTACATGAAATATATATATATATATACGTGCTGATTTCCGTAATAAAACGATCTGTTGCCGGCCCTTGTCTTCTGTTGTTACAGTAGTAATAAGTGAAAGGTAAAAAGATTAACTAAATAAACAAAATACATAAATAAATGTCTATCCCTCTACGGTCAAGGCAGAAGTAAGGATTGTATATACTTTTGTACACAAAGGTCTGTTTAGCTTAAATTCACGAATGGCCAAGGCATCCTCTGTCTTTAGAAGTTTAGAACGAAGAAAACGCCGCCAGGATTCTGTAGATGATCTTAAAATCATGGTCAGGGTTGGTAGAGTGACAGGAGTTGATCAGGTGTTCTAGCATATAGAGCTTCGCACACACTTCCTTTCTGCCTTGTAAATCCATGCAGGAATATGTTCTCGTATCAGTGTGGAAAGCATCCTCTTGCTACTGCCAATGTACTTTGCTCCACAAAAGCAGGTGAACTGTGATAGATGCACCATATGACGGCGATCAGACAGGGGAGTTTATCTTTTACAGAGGATGGAGAACAACTTGCAGCTGGTGAACACGTCATTTGTAATTTGTAATTTTTCTAATTTTTTTCTTATTCTCTCTCTCTCTCCCCTATTGTTTTCTTTAGGTGCATATGAAAATCGTAGTATATTTGATTCATTAGACATTGGTTGGGAATTACTGCGTATATTCCCAAAAGAATTATTAAAACGTATACCTGCAAAAATATTAGAAAAGTATTATCCACGTTAAATTGTGTGGGCGTACGTGCGCACACACACACACAATTATGGGGGAACACAAGCTCAATTAACACATCGTGGATGTTGTTGTCAGCCAAGACAGGTTATCAATATTACTATTATTATTATTGGCAAAGTCATTTTGTAGTATGTTTTTGTGTTTCTCAAAAATTTTCAATCATTCCAAAATTGTTTTCTTCGGTATTATTATTATTATTATTACTATCATTACTACTGATGTTATTTGTATTACCCTTAGAATCTTGTCCTTTTATTCCCTTATTTACCAAAATCAATAATTAATTACACTGTGATGATTACTCTCTCTCTGTCTCCGGGACCACCCTCCCACCGGACATCCCTCCTCCTCTTCGTCCTCCTCCCTTGCGCAGTTTTTCATGTTTCTCTTCTCTTCTTTTTATTTTTCTGCGTTTATTTACTCCCATTTCTTTTTGTTGTCAAGATGAAAAGAATGGGTTGAAAGCATAATATTAATATTATTATTGTTATTATTACTATCTTGATATATTATTTATTATTTAAAGTTATGAAAAGGTCGTGGTGGTGGTGGCGCTGAAGCTGCTGCTGGGGTTGGGGTGTGTGGGAGGGAGTCTTATTTATTACTATTACTATTATTAACGTTGTCCGGAGTTATTTTGTTCTTTTGATTTCATCTGTATATTTCTACAGAGTTGTCGCTTCTTTGAATACTAAAAAAAACCAATTTACATACATGTATGTATTCGAGTCTGTGTTCCGAGTGTGTGTGTGTGTGGGGGGGGGGGAAGCGAGATGTGGGGCTGCAAAATGTAGGCGTTGAAGCTTTAATCACAGTGAATTGATCGAAAGGGCGTGTGTACTGCTCATCAGTCTGCTCCGTCCTCCTTTATGGTTTGTTGTGAGACGTGGTCATTGAGAGTGGAAGATATGAAAAGGTTGGCTAGCTCGCTGTCTTTGATCATAGGTGCCTGCGTTCTATCTCCCGTGTGAAATGGTATAATAAGGTGACCAATACTGAGATTAGGCGTCGAGTGCTAGGTAAAGAGGGAAAATCAATCGACGAGGCTTTGAAATTACACTGATTGAGATGGTTAGGAGATGTGTTACACATGCCTAGCCTAGCCATCGCCTTCCTCGACAACGGGCAATGTTAGCTGACATAGAGTCAAGCTGGAAAAGAGCTAGTGGCGGTCAAACAAAAACATGGCTTCACCAGTCAGTGAAATCCACAACAGTTAGTCTAAACCACTTAGGAAGGTGTAGACTTCCTGGTTGGGGTCCTCGAGACAGTAAAAACCAATGGTTGGAAACAATTGGTGATATGGCTCGAAATCGTTTTCAATGGCTGGTGCAGATGAATCCACTCTTTATGACTCATGATTTCCAATGAAACTATATTCTTCTTCGTTATTACTATTCTTTTTGTCTCATATCTATGTTTACTGTCTGTATTATGCATTTCTTCTACTTTCTTCTCTTGCTTTGTGTGGTACAAGGAGGGAGTGTGGCGACTTGAACTGCCGCACATATGTACAAAGTTCTGTGTTGAAAACAGACAGACAGACAGACAATAACAGTGGGGTTGCACTAGACTGACGTTCAATCTTCTATTTTTTTCCCCAGTTAGGCTTACTGTTGTCTAGTTTAGGTAGCTGTAGGTGAGGTGTAGGAGGATCGTTGTCGGTCGGGAATCGAACCCCAAACCATGTGCAGTAAGGGATGATTAGGGGCCCCTGGTTGTGAACAGATAAAATACCGTCTACAAACATACACATCGTCAACCCCGACTCTTCCCTCCTTTTATATCAGCTTTGGCTGGTATTCTAGTAGGATTGTACAGTGGTTAATATAGGGGTGCTGTCTCACCGCTAATATATGTGTTCACCTCAGTCTTACCATCGAAATAGCTCAGACATCAATCTTTTTACGACGAAGTTCAACAATAGCGTCTCAGAAGTACGAACGCTCCAGTGGCCTTAAACGCGTGCTGGTCGTTGACTGAAATATCAACGCTATTTACCAACTAAGGAGCAAATTTCACCCAGATCACGTTTTTAAGTACTGTTTGGACAATGTTTTGATACCTCGTTAGGGTTAGGATTGGGGTTATGGTAAGTATTGAGGTTAGGGTTAGGATCAGGGTCATAATTAGGATTAGTGTTAAGCATAGGGTTAGGGTTACGATTGGGGACAGATATATACTTAATGTCATTTACTTTAATTTGTCTTATCCACATTTTCCTGGTAAGTAGTCGTCGATCCTTTTACTGAAAACTATAGTAGTCCAACCGTGAGCTTTTAGGGAATACTGCACAACAGGCGAAGAGAGATAAACGATTCACAGAAACAGCTTATCTTCAATCACCTCGGTGAATACATGTAAAGAACTAGTCTAACTTAGCAACCGAGATTCCTCATTATAGCTTGGACGTGTTTTTAAGTCATGCCAGAGAAAGATACCCTGTTTAATGTGTTTTTATTCATTTTCTTGTAAATATACGTCTGTTTTTGTGCAAAAATCCTAATTTTTACTATTGGTCGACTCAAAGTCACTCGGGCGTTCGCATATCTTGGGACGCTATTGTTGAACTTCTTTCTGTTCACAGGGAAAACAGTTTCCATATGATGTTGGAGTTCGCCTGGATAGTGCATCAGCATAAACATTCAAAGTCGTATTCCTGAAGGTACTCCTGTCACCTATCCGTCTGGACCTTTGTGGTCCTTAAAGTCCTGTAACCACCATTGTAGTGTTTTATTATGGTGTGTTCTAAGCACAAGAGATATATCTTATCTAAGGGGTAAGTTCTATGTACTTAGGAATGAACGTTGCAGTGTCTAACATCTCTTTCCTAGTGATACAATAGTTCTCATCTACGGTTCCCCTCAGTGTATCCCATCGCTGCGAACTTTAGATAATACATCGCCAGTGCTTGTTTAAATGGTATTAGTGTCTGAGGCATACTTACCGGCTTTCGAGGGATGTATCTGGGATGGCTAAAGTAGGCGCTGAGCATAACGAATCCTACAGAATAGATTGAAAACATATTCATAATCCCCTGTCCATACGGAAGGAATATTTCTCTCAGTTAACGTTTGTTAATAGGCTAGCGATTTTTGAAGCATTCTACCCGTGAACTACCGAGGTAATTTAGTAGTGAGAGTTGTCTGCTGGCCAAAATTGGTAGACACCAACTTACGTCCAAAATCCTGGTCATGAGAGAATACAAAAACAAAGCCTTACCTTGAGGAACTCAGCAACCAATCACGGCAGACTTAGCCTGGGCGGACACGATTAGCAGATATGTCAACGGACTGTCTCAGAAATGGCAACAAAGGGATTATGGAATAACCTTCAGCAGGAAAACAACCATTCAGAAGACGTTACGTCTTTGCTAACAATAACGCTAATAATAATGTACATAAAAATCTATAAATATCTGTTGATTTTCCCAATAAACGATCTGCTGCCTGGCCATTGTCTTCTGTCGTTACAATTTTAGCGTTGGTTCGTGAAAAGTGCTCATCCAAACATGAAAATGAACAAAGACTTCAGCGAACAGTCTATTTTCGACGAATTTATTCACTTAGGTGTACTATTATATATATATATATATATATATATCAAAAAATGTGGTGAATAGTCGACATTCTAACTAATGGGGTGGGTGTTTAAAGACCAGTGAGTTTAGACTAGGGTTACGTAATATGAAAACGTCCAGGAGAAATTGGATGTGAATGAAAGAGCATAGAGACAAGTATCAAAATAAATTTTGCGGTAGGTGGCACAGTAGTTAGGACTCTCGCCGACCATGCACATGGTCCAGGGTTCGATCCCCTGCCGACGCACACCTGATATCTATGATCGGCCTGCAAAATTTGGGCTACCTATATTACATGCTGAAAACTCCATACTTGTACCAAAAAATACGGTTTGGAATCAAGGTGTAATAAAAAAAAATAAGGGTAAATAGAATGTTAGTCAAGAAAATAATCATACTAAATATCGTCTGAAAAATGCACAAAATAGTATTTATAACAAAATAATGATAACAGTTGAGCTTAGAATTACATCCAAGATAGAATGCAGGAGGGGAAGGAGAAGTTACTTCTGTGCACATAAATTAGAGTTTGGGAAAGAATTTTCCTTACATACATTGAGTGAACAGTATTGAATATATGTTCAGTTGTAGTAATCATTATTGATCCATTGTTGGGTTTTTTTTTCGTAATCAAGTGGGATAATGCTCTGACTGTTTGACATAAAATACGCATTGTGCACATATATCTAGCTCCCCACATGAGCAAGTGAATTGGGAGATACACATAGAAGTGATCGAATGCGATAGTTTGTCTTTGGAAGATACCAATCGTGACATAGGAGCGAAAGATATTTTTTCTCAAGGCGTTAAATATTCTTTTCTTTAGGGGGTGGGCCAGAAAGTCGTCTTTCAATGCTACATTCATGTATAGCATCTTCTCTGGCACAGAGGCTGGGGTGTTGTTCCTTGTTGGTTTTAGGCTTAATGTGTCCATCTATAAAGCATGATGGGTAGCTATATCGTCGTAAGGGTGATCTCTTCATCTATTGATTCAGGGCTGCATGTTCTTCTGGTTCAAGTTACAAGCAATAATATCAGTTAGGCTCGTGTTGCGATCAATAGGTACCCAACTGTAAAACCTTATCAACTGGGCGTATCCATAAAGAAATTGACGGTGTTAACGTATATGTGTTTACTCCTTAAGGTAAAAGGAATTTGAGGAATGAGAATAACCACATCGGAAGTTGAAATAATGAAGGGGATTTAGTATTAAATTCAAGATATATGTGTATGTGGTTACATCTATTCTACTGCGATGAATTTTGATCAGCATCACCCAGACTCTCTAGCCATCAGTCCTTCCATCATATACCAAACTTTTCTTCAAAAACAATTCGGGGGCGAATACTTGTAGCCTTCACAGACCTACTTTGAATTTACATCTTTTCTAACCATACTATGGAATAAAGAG